GATAATAATCTATTTACGGTGCAGTATCATATAAAATCTTATTAAATTCCCCGGAAAGAGTGTCTTCAAGAATATATGATAACGTTTGCCACAATACATTTCACATAACGTAATTATTGTGTATTGTCATTTTATAGCTTGTTTTAAAATCGTTAGCTCAAACTTGTACCGAACATGTACGTTAATAACTGCTATAGTATGTGCCTTTGAAACATTAGATTGCAGTTTATATGAAAATCATTAAATCTGAATTTTGCCTGTCAATCGAATCTGATGCAACTATCAAAAAAAAAAAAAAAAAATAGAAAACTACTCGTTTGCAAAATATTTACTGTTATTTTGTGTGCGTATCTTTCACAATAATGACAGTCTAAGAACACAATTGTTCCCTTAAGAATGCACTTGTCATTGTATTGTCTCTGTCAGCATGGCAAACATATAAAATGCTTCTTACATACCAATACCAAAAACATCGTTAAGGAAATATCAAAATATATGATTGTCAGCTTATCCAGGTCAATACTCGCCTCAAGAAATACTTAATTGTAAAGATGAGACTTTACTAATAAGAAAACGTGATAATTACAAGACTGTAGCTGATCTAGTTAATATGGAATCTTTAGTTTTTTAGAACATTTACCTCTTGATGGTTTCTGGTTGGGTTTTACGTCACACTAACACAATAAAAGGCTTGGCAGCTAAACTGGTGAAGGAAGACATCCTGTTCTCCTCTGTGCATTATGTATGACATCAGAGTAGAACCACTGAAGTTCCATTGGCTAGATGGATAACTTACACGAAGTATTAATATTATGTCATTCGCATAATTCGGACCCACAGCAGTAAGAGGCATGTTGACCACTTGGCCGTGGATGCCTCGTACCTTTAAAAATAATCCCTTTCTGTTACATTAACTTGCATTTCATAATAATTATTATTCATTTGAACCAAGCGGTTTATATTAATTTAGTATGTGCGATTATGAGATTAATTTGTTTTTAAAATATCTTGTCGAAGATGGTTACCATGTCATAATACATATTTTTTCTGTTTATATACTATGTTATGTCATTTCTGTGAGGGGTAAATGTTATCATTAGTTTGTTGCCGATAATTGTCCGTGAAAAACAAACTTCATTGGCTTATATCTCCATTCAAGATCAGATATTGTTTCTGTTCTAACGCATTATCGTTCGTTTGTTCGTTTGTTCGTTCGTTTGTTCTACGAAAATAATTTCACTTTAAGATATTAAATTCTTCAAATTGTAAAGCCGAAAATCACCATGATAATTTGTAAATATGAAGATCATCACTTGTTCGTTCTGTAGATTTCTATGCATTATCCATATGATATCAAATTTATCAAAACGAGCAATTGTCGTATTTTGATACTTTATGTTATATCATTTTATATCAATTTATTACAAGTTAGTGTTTAGCATCGATTCAACCACTTATATATGAAAGCGAAATTCTGGTTGTTTCTGTCCGATTGTCTGACATTTTCGAACATTCTCTTTTCTTGAAGAATCTCTCCTCTGTATTCTCGCTCATATGTTGAACTGAATCGCGCGTGGTACTAGGAATGTGATTCTAAGATTATTAGGACTAAGTTGATTCAACAGTTTTCTTCAGATTACCTTGTAGAGCCAGGAAGTTCTCTCCTCCGATGTCTCCTCCATATAATTTAGTATGTGTCTATATACCTCTGACCCATGTTTACTCTACTACTCCCATATAATGTATATCAAAATCTCGTTGTCTCACAACAGGACACCTCCAGATATATACTCTCGCTATCTTACCACAACTCTCTCTTATTGTATTTTAGGATTTCAGGGATAATCCAATATAGCGATTTAGTTGATCTATCTGGAAATTCATCTTCGTAAATTATTGCAGACTTAATTTTATCATTTTTCGTTAGACATATAAAGAGATGAAAATGCTATCAAATATAACATATATTAATAGATTGTTCTGGTTATGCCTTATCATTAGAAACATTTAGTATACACAGAACATGTGTATTTTAGATTTCAAATTAAATAATTAACTTCATTAAGTAAAAGCCAGTATTGATATTTCTTAAAGTCATTTAATGTGTTTTTAAATTTTTGCCATTCTATAGCTATCCATATATAAAATTTAATAGTTAAGGCAGTGTTGACTGCTTACTAATGCACCTGCTTTGCGTATCTGTAATATTCTTGTTAATATTTCATAAAACATTAAATGTAACATAATTGTTATCTATTTACAGAGCAGTATCGTATTAAAATATAATTAAGATTCCAGGAAAATGTGTTTTCAAGAATGTTTATTAAGGTTTACCTCAAGAAAGATACCATTGTGTTATGACATTTAACAACTTGTTTCAAAATAGATTGTTAGCTCATTAGGGTGAGCATCATACTTGAAATTAATTACAGCTAAAAAGCAGCGGTCAAATTCCCTATCACTGTGTTATTTGAAAAGATTCTCATCCCTTTGTCGTTCGTCATGTGTGTTTAGCTAAGGAAAGATAAAACTAATTTGCAATTCTCATTAAATATTTGAACATGTAATAAGTTCAGCGATTCCTACATTCAAAAATTAGCGAAGTAATTTTTACACAGTTATTTTTGGCTCTATTGACACCATTTTAACAATGACTTTTTAAGTTAAGACTTAAATGTAAGAAACATTTTACAAATAACTCGCTTACCATCTTTAAAAATAAGTTAAATGGTATTTATGTACCTATATTTGTACTATATCTGATCTGGTATCTGAAGGTATTGGATCATTCTCCCGCTCGACTTAGATAACTCATTAAAAAAAAGTTCTAATATTTCCAAGTATCATTTCGCATTAATATATCCACGTAAAACGATATGGAATCATTTTAATAAAGAACTTTATTCATTTTTGAGTTAACAAAAACAAATTAAATTAGTAATCGATTGTTTAAAATTATAAATTCAAATTTGCCAAATTTGTAACAAATGTGTTAGACACTAAGATCCAATTGAGCCAGTGAATATGATACTACACACAGTGAATAACTGAATATGATTTAAAAAGTAGTTCTGTTGACTACTGTTTGGACAAGTAGAATTTCAGCTATATTTATATCCTATAATGTAAACTTAATTGACATTTTAGCCGCGCCATGACAAAACCAACATAGTGCATTTGCGACCAGCATGAATCCAGACCAGCCTGCGCATCCGCGCAGTCTGATCAGGATCCATGCTGTTCGCTTACAAACCCTTTAACAAGTATAGAACATGTAGAAAGTGAACAGCTTGTATCCAGATCAGACTGCGCGGATGTTGGTTTTGTCGTGACGCGTCTCATTTGTTAGAGATATATCAACTTGCCTTGAAAAAAAAACAACAACAAGAAAACACATTCATACTTTTTATAAACAATTACATTTCTTACAAATCCGTTCAACATAACATGAAGTTTATACGACAAATATAACAACGAAACACACGGCAGGTCAATTTGGTTTACACATATTTATTGAAGTTCGATTGCGAAACATGTTTTTGCAACTTAAATAAATCACTTTCAAGTCCGCATCCTGGAACCAACCAGTACTTGTGTTTTTTGAAGAAACGTGGACGTGACTCGATTAGGGATCGATCCCATGATAGGCAGACTACTCCACCACTAGGCCACCGAAGATAGATTTAAATGTATAATATGCTAAGTTTATTATCTAAAAATACATATATTCATGTTGTGATCACCAGAAATAAAACATGCACCTTGAGAAATACAAAAAAAAATCTTCTTGAAAATTTGTTTACCAATAAACATCTGTAAAATCTTGAATATGATTATGGTTCCTTTATCCTTTTTTCTTTTTGATGGTATCGTAAATCCCAATTACTTGCACCAGACGAGATATTTTCTAAAACGTCACGCTGTTGTCAGCTTTAATTATAAATAAAACGGAGTGCAGATGTGCAATAATGGTAAACTAAATTTCACCAACCCGTTAATTGTGTCTGCCTCATGGCATTTGTCTTGTACAAATGACAGATTTTCGTTTTTTTCCTAACATCGACTAAATTCGTATTGTTATATTTGTCAGTCTTCATTTTCCAAACAACAAACAAAATAATAAGATGTGGATTCCTAATCATTGTCATTTTAAACATGGATTTGCTCCTTAACACATGTTTGCGATGTAAAATTCAAAAAAGGTTTTCTTTAATAAAAAAAGACGAACGTTGATTTAGCATGTGCTCTCTTATCTTACAAAATCATGTGCCGCAAATTAAATTTCAAAGTTTCTTATTTATTCATACGTGAAATAGACTTCAGACATAGTTACATTGTGTTCTGTTAAGTAAATGTATGAAACAAACTTTTAATATCAATCATAAATACTGGCATTTCTACTTGTCATTTATTCTTCAGAATATGTATTCAATGTAATTTCTTTCCGTGAAAAAGAATTATAGATTATCGGGCAAAAATCCTTCAAAAGCAAAATTATACTATATAGTAATAAAATTCTAATTCCTAAAAAATCGTTCTTTGCATTCATCTTTACTTTTTAAGAATAATGTCTAATTTGAGAAAAATAAATTGCTGAAAAGGTCAGTCAAATACAAATGATGTAATCAGTTGTGATAAATGATACACGGGTGCGACATACCAAAATTAAACATTGTCGATTAATTATTTCGTTTAGGCTAGATAAGGCAGAATTCTTTGTGCACAATATTGAAGTCAAAGATAAGAGCTGATTGAGTGAGATTTACGCCTTCCAAAAATTATAAAAGAAAGGAATGGTTTTGACTTATAAAACGTTTTATATTCGTACTTATCTTTTGCTTTAACATTTTAGATTACCTGGATTGTTTTATGTGTTTACATTGTTATTAACAATGTACTTTTTGCAGGTATATAATCTCAATAAATGAAAACCATAAAGTCAATGGACAAACATCACTTTATACACGTGTTTATTGACTGTTGGTTCTGTGCGCCTGTGCGCCTTATATTCTAGTTTTTATACATACACTAGCATATTCAAGTGTTGAAACTTTTTTTGAGCAGTTGTTATAAGCAATAACGGAATGGGAAGCGGCAAAGGTAGTGGTAAAAATGCTGGGGAAGCTCTTGTGGCAATTGGTAAGCAGTTTTTCGCATTTGTTTTATAAGGTATCTTAGACAATGCGTTATGAGTTATTATCCTAACGCTGATCAACTGAAAATAATTTGTTGAAATTAAAACGGTGTCTATCGGACAATATATATATATATTATATTTATATGTAGAGTTTCAGATTGTTTTCCTCATTATGTTTTGTTGTTGTTCTTCTTTTTTCTTTTCTTTTTTTGGGGGGAGGGGGGCATAGCTGAACATATTTTTTATTATTTTAAACAGGGATCAGCCATGCTTGATTTCTTATAACAATATATGATTTATATACAAGACAATGATTTCTTTACATTAAGTTATGGCAATTACTATGGTGTCTAAAATTTAAAAATAATTTGCCACTATAAAATAAAATGTAAAGGATAGGTCTAAAATAAAATGTATAGGAATCAGGATAGTTCTTTATTTTTTTAGGTTACATGTAATGTGTAAATGACGAAGTTACGAATTTTATAGAAGTTGGTCGTCTTTAAAAAATCATCAATATCACAATATGCTATAATTTAATAAATGGTTATTTTGTTAAAAGGTACAAGAAATGATCGTGTCATTTTTATGCAAGCATCGCTAACTTTCTATTTGTATTGAAAATAATTTTAAATTGAAATAACATAATTTGCATGTTTTTTGTTGTTGTTGTTGTTTGTTTGAATTTTGTATTTTTTTTGTTGTTTTTTTTTGTTTTTTTTTCTTTTTTTGAACGATTATTTCTTGTTATGCTCCCCGAAAAAATCGGGGAATATATAGTCGCCGCCTTGTCCGTTCGTCCGTCCGCCCGTCTTTCCGTCCGTCCGTCTGCTTTTCTTGTTTGGGACATAACTTTGAAACAACAAGAAGTATCAACATGAAACTTTGTAGGTAGATAGATCTCATTGAGTAGGTGTGCAGTGCACAAGAACCGAAACTCTGTCTTGCCTAATTTTTGAATTATCCCCCTTTGTTTTTTTTTACACTTTGAACATTGTCCGGGTCATAACTCTAAAAGTATAAGAGGTATCAACATGAAACTGTGTAGGTAGATAGATCTCATTGAGTAGGTGTGCAGTGCACAAAAACTGTAACTCTGCCTTGCCTAATTTTTGAATTATCCCCCTCTGTTCATTTTTTACACTTTGAACTTTGTCCGGGACATAACTCATAAAGTATAAGAGGTATCAACATGAAACTTTTTAGGTAGATAGATCTCATCATTGAGTAGGTGTGCAGTGCACAAGAATCGTAACTCTGCCTTGCCTAATTTTTAAATTATCCCCCTTTGCTTATTTTACACTTTGAACTTTGTCCGGGACATAACTCTGAAAGTATAAGAGTTATGAACATGAAACTTTGTAGTTAGATAGATCTCATTGAGTAGGTATGCAGTGCACAAGAACCCTAACTCTGCATTGCCTAATTTTTTAATTATCCTCCTTTGTTTATTTTACACTTTGAACTTTATCCAGGGCATAATTCTAAAAGTATAAGAGTTATGAACATGAAACTTTGTAGGTAGATAGATCACATTGAGTAAGTGTGCAATGCACAAGAACCGTAACTCTGCCTTGCCTTATTTTTGAATTATCCTCCTTTGATTATTTTACACTTTGAACATTGTCCGGGTCATAACTCTAAAATTATAAGAGGTATAAACATGAAACTTTGTAGGTAGATAGATCTCATCATTGAGTAGGTGTGCAGTGCACAAGAACCGTAACTCTGTCCTGTCTATGTTTTTCACTATTTCCCTTTGTTTATTTTCACACTTTGAACTTTGTACAGGACAGAACTCTTAAACTATAAGAGGTATCAACATGAAACTTTGTAGGTAGATAGATCTCATTAAGTAGGTTTGCGGAATATAAGACTGTAACATTGTCGTGCCTACTTTTGGAGTTATTGTCCTTTGCTCATTTTGACACTTTGAAATTTGTCCGGGACATTACTCTAAAATTATAAGAGATATCAACATGAAACTTTATAGATAGATAGGTCTCCTTGGGTTGAAGTGCAGTGCTAAAGAATCATTACTCCATGTACTCTGCTCTGTCTTATTTGGAAGTTATTGCCCTTGGTTTATTTTTACTTTTTGACTTTTGTCCGGGACATAACTTTAAAACTATTAGATATATCAACATGAAACTGTGTAGGTAGCTAGATATCATTGGATAGAACTGCAATGCTTAAAGAACCTAAACAAAGCCTTGTCTAATTTTGGAGTTATTACCCTTTGTTCATTTTTACACTTTGAATTTTACCCGGGACACAACTCTGAAACTATAAGAGATATCATCAGGAAACTTTATAGATAGATAGATCTCATTAAATAGAAGTGCAGTGCAAAAAACATAACTCCGCTTTGCCTAATTTTGAAGTTTTTGCCCTTTGTTCATTTTTTATACTTTCCTGTGTACAAAACCTTCTCGGGGAGCATCACCCGGTTCAGCCGGTTCTTGTTTTTAATTAGGTCATGATTTGTTGTGCTTTGATTTTCATATTTCAGCTGTGTGTGGCGGTATTGTTACCATTTTACTTTTAGGTATTGCAAAGTTTGTTGTTGGTATGTATTCAATGACATTTTCAGTAAGTATCAGTATGTCCTTTATTCATAAGAATGGAAGCTTTAACGAATAGTAAGATGTCACCATACTTTTTATTTCAATGAATGTGGTGTACCTCACAAAAAGTATCATAAAAATGATTTGATTTATTATTATTATTAAGCTTGCAAAAATCTTGCATAATTATAAAAAATTGGATTGGTAATTTCCGGGGTTTGAGTAATATATACAAAGAAGGCTTCAGAATTTTAATGCATAGTCGCTTTTTGGAATATATGTTGGCAGATTATCTTCTCATGTATCTCATGTGTCTTCATGTATTTCTGCCATTTAAATCACCTGAATTAAGAGTAATGAGATAATAAAGTACTGTGCCTGATAGTTCAAGATACTAATCACGGTTTTCTTTCATTTCTATTTCAAAAAACATTGACACTGCGTAAAAATATGTTTGTAATGAGAAATCTTACTTTATGTTTTATTTTATCAGGTATAGTTTACTGGAATGATTGTCCAGCAAATCCTGCTATTCCAAGATATATGAGTGGATCTGCTGGTGTCGAAACTTTCTCTGATATCATTATCGGATGCATATCATGTTGTACTGAGATACAGGAGAAGGGCATAGCCGGTGCAGCAGCTGAACATCTCATTGGAATAATCGTCGGTTTGTCGTGTTGTTTGTTGTTGTTTGTTTTTCAAATACGATAACAAACACGTCAGGTTAAATCCACATTATGCCCTCAAAACAATTATTTTTTTGCTTCTACGGAAAGCGCAGAAATAAATATTTTGAAGCTTGCTACATGCTTATCATTGCCTGAAGAAAGTAGTGCTGAATAAGAAATTCTTTGTTATAAATGTAGCAAAATGTAAACAAAGTATTGATTTGACTTCCATACAAAATACTAAATCACTATCATTGCACTAATTGTGAAAAAAGCAAAAATATCGAAAAGAATGGTTCAGATAATTGGCCAATAAGTATCTATGTTGAAACTGTGACACAAATATTGAACACATTTTAAAATAAATAGTATTTCTGGGGCACAATGGACCTTTAAACGTTACATTTGATACAAACTTATTTAATATTAAGGTATAAATACATAACAAAATAATCTTAATTTCATGTTTCATGTTTAATATCTGCAAAGGTAGATTAACTTTCTTAATTATAATTTCATTTTTTATTTGGATTTTCTTTACTTTTAGGGAGCATTTTGGTCTTCTCAGATTATTCTTATCTGGCTGGCGGATGTAATGGTGCCAAGGATTGTTGTGATGAGAATTTTATCAAATTTGCACTCAGTGTTTCTATAATTGAGTGGCTACTGCTGTTACTACCTATTGTTGTCTTTATTTGCTTCTGTATATTTGGTTAGAATTGTGCTATTTCTCAGATGGTTTCATTTATGTCGTTTGATGTAAAACAACATATTATTTTATTTGAATATAGACAAAAATAATAGTAATAAACGCTCTTATTAATACACTGTAACTAAATATTTTCACCATTTTTCTCTGCACCAATCTTTTCATCAAACATTTAAATAAACATATCTTCTAACAAAATGAGTGTTATTCACAGTGTCTGATATATATATCCATATGTCCGTAGAGTTTAAGAGTTGCGCATGTAATCACTTTTAAGATAACATGAACACGAACGACCTACATGTACATAAATTTTAATTAATTTAATTTTTAAATATGTTGAATATAAGAATGTTATAATGTTTATCTACAGATAGCTAATCTTAGCTGCAATGAAATCATTATGATTACAAATGTGTTATGCCTTAAATGTAGATAAAAAACTAAATTAGCAATGTACTACATTGTATCTACTTTTATGTCTGTATCTATATTTTCCGGTGCTTCGGGATCGTTGATTTTAGCATTTTTAAGTGTTGAAAATTGAGTTCCTCTCAAGCCGGTGCTAGGGAATGTAAGGGATATTGCACTCAATCAAACCGACTCTGCAATGTTCATGAAATTTTATTGTGATTAATGTTTCAGAGGGATCACTCTTTTTCCAGATTTGTATAATCATACGTGAAAAGTTATCGTCAATATTACCAATGAGTAAAGGGGAATTATATGAAATTTGAATTACATAATTAGGTCTTTTATTCAAACATAGATGATATAGTAAAATCCTGTTTTTGAAGTTATGTTACAAAGATTACCATATTTTTGCTACAGGTACGAATTGTTATCGATTGGTGCGCCGAAGATGATAAAAATTTCATTTTTCATGCAATGCGAAATCATTAGAATATAATGCAGGCAACATTCTGAAAAAAGTAAAAAACAAACAATCAAAATAAATACAAAAACCAAAAAAAAAACAGAAACTGTTTACATGCTTATTGAAATGATGTATTTAATTGAAAAGGTTCACAGTTCTACTCAACTATACAATAACAATAGCCTTACTCTATTACATGTAGAACTGTTCATAAACTGTTAATATAAAATGCCATATTTAGTTTAAGCATATAGGCAATATATTATTATCAACAGGAAAAGTAGTAAGAAAAGTTATCATTGTTATATTGATATTGTGTTTACGTGGAACCTGGAGGTGCAGTCATAACATACTTTAAGAGAGTGATACACTCCGAAATATGTCTACCGATTAATAATTATATATATTTGTGTTTGCTGTTTACCACGAATTTTCAGGAAAATAGTGTTCCATTCTGTGAATAATTAATAAGCTTGTGGCCAATAAAGTGTTGTTAGTTAGGAAAGAAACTGATTGTTGATGTTTTAATAGGGAAGGAAAGCTGTCTGCTTGTTGTTGTCTTATCTGACGTGTACAAGATTGTTGCTAAGTAACCAGTATTTCTACGGAAATGCTAAGGTATCCTTTTTGAAAATTTCTTAATAAGTAGTTTTTGTATGCTGATATAGATTTACTTAACCATACTGTGATATTTATCATTGTTCATTCTGAAATATTTTTACTTGAAAATATCAATTATAGCAAATTATCACACGTCATTATTTACATTACGCACATGTTGTATTCTTTAATTCCCATATGTGCGATTATTTTATGGATGAAAACATTTCTTCCTGGCACATACTCCTTAAATTTTTTGCCAACATTGAGAAAGAAGCAAATTACATACTTCAGTTTGATGTGTTCTTTTAATGACACGTGACGCACATTTATAATCCAGATTAATTCTTTTTTCATCTAATTTACTGATTAAACGGCAGTTTGAGGAAAATTATAATGCGAACAAAATTTAAAAATCAACCCAACCTATCATATTGCATAATACTACAGTTACTGTGTTATATTTGAGTGAAGAAAGGGCAATGTATGAACTTGGTCCTGTCCCTAGTATCGCCCCTGATTCAAATTTCAAAAACAATCTGACCATTACTGCAGCTATCGTTTTGTAGTGTGAATTTTTTTTAAGAAACATGTGTCCCTTTCAAATATATGTGTTTGTTATCAACTTTCTGCATTTAGGTTCGTTGAATAAGTATAAATAACATATTATTAAGAACATAAACGATTGCTTACAGCCCAAGATAAAATCTCACAAATATCCGTCACAATGAATAAATACAAATTCAAGAGGCCTCCTTTAATTTCATGCTGGTAATCCTTTATCGTACACTGTATCCAAACAGATATTATAACTAACACTTGTCAAATAAACTTCCGACAAAATAATATGGTTTTATTTGTGGTCATAATATAGCCGACACTAAGCAAAATTCAAACAAGAGCCTAATAAAAAAGCTAACCTAGCTGAAACGTATAATTATGAAATTCATTAAATAAATAGATATAAAATGAGTCTCTTTTTTAAACATTTATCTTAATGTTCACTTACAGGTAATTGCCTTGTTGATGGGTCTCGGGTCTGCTGAGCATGAATAATTCTTCTGTTTCTGACTTAATCGCCTGTTTGGCCTAGGTAAAATTCTATGTAACCCTTTCATACCAAAAACGAATCAGAAGAACTGCTTATGCTCAGCAGATTAAAGATCCACCAACAAGACAATGACCTTTTTTTAAATTTATATACAGAGGATATTAAATGAGTGTAATTTTAATACTGACTTTATTGAACGACTTGAATAAAATTATATTATGCGATCCTCTCGTGAGCATGATGTTATATTGTTGAATGAGTTCAATAAATTCAGAAATGAACTAAGCCTATTTTTCCTTTACCAAAAATAAAGAACGTTTAAAGTGAAGAAGAATCATGTTTCATTGAGGTGCATTAAGTGTTATGCTACATTTACCGCTCGTTACACTGAATAACGCAAATGGCGACACGTCAGAATACTGCACAGCCTTGCAATATGATTTTACGGTGTCGCAAAGGCACCACGGGTTTGTGATAAATAGCACTAGTAAATTCGAATTGTTTACTGCTTATACGTCATTGTTGAATTAATAATGACCTTTTGATGCGAAAATATAAAGTTTCAATTTATGTTAACTGCTCTAGAATTTTAGAAAACGCCCACAATAATGAGCCATGTCACATTTTATCAAATATTTATACCCCCGCACAACGAAGTTGTAAGGGGCGTATACTGGAATCAGCTTGTCCGTCCGGCAGTCCGTCCGGACGTTTCCCCGCACTCACAGGACAGTAATTATGTGGCTAAAAACTGTTCTTTCTCTTTGATGTCATTCATTCCGTAATGCTTTTATGTGGCTATTTTATTTTGTGTGGCTAAAAAGAACAATAGAGAGAACAATAGAGTAGCCACATTATTACTCTCCTGTTAGAAAATCCGTCCGGTCGTCCGTCGGTTTTTCCTTGTCCGCGCAATAACTTAAGATTCCTTTGACCCACAGTCTTTATATTTGGCATGGAAGTTAGTCATGACTAGTAGATGACCCCTATTGATTTTGAGGTTACTGTGTCAAAGGTCAAGGTCACAGGGACCTTGACTACAAAAAGCTTGTCCGCCCAATATCTAAAGATTTCTTTGACCCATAGTCTTAATATTTGGTATGGAGGTTAGTCATGACTAGTAGATGACCCCTATCAATTTTGAGGTAATTGGGTCAAAGGTCAAGGTCACAGGGGCCTTTACTAAAAAAGCTTATCCGCCCAATAACTTAAGATTCCTTTGACCCACAGTATATTTGTGCATTCAGAAGATGAAATTCGTAATGAAAGGGAACAATGCAAGATTTAGGTAGTTAAATGTTTCGAAGATCAGTTTTAACATTTTGTGAACGGTATATTTAGTGACTTAACCTTGTTTAATTAAGGAATTATTCATAACAAGCTCAATAATGAATCACACATTCTCCTCATACCCCTAGTAAGGCGTCCAATGCGATTTCTCTCTTAAGTGCAGAGCTTGTTCCAGTTGTTGCAGGTTAACTACAGTTGGTTCGTTCCAATTTAAAATTTCAGTTGTGGTAATGTCCTAATTGAGGCAAAATGCCGGATAAGAGGAGTAGGGTTGAGGCTATCATCCGTGCATGTGATAGTTACACACGTTATTAAAAATGTGGCTACATAATGTCATTTTAGTTTAATTTATCATCAATATTTTCCAAAAAATCCACCAGTCAATATTTTGTAAACGCTCCAACACCATTCTTACAAACACTTACATTTTTTATAAAAAACAACAACACATTTGCTTATGCTTTAATAATTTTGTTATGAATAAACTTAACTCATATATTTACTGGCTTATGATTACTGAATCTGTATCGCTACTTATCAACTTACTATATCTTAGCTCAATTAAGTCGTCATCTCATGACAGTGTTTCATTCACAACCACTTTAAATTATTGGGTTGTTCTTAACTTATTTCCATGTGCATTTTACAATCTTGCTTAAAACCGATGGGTTCTTACTGTCCAAAGTAATATTATATTGTAACGATTAGACGCCATCATTTTACATTTGAAAATGAAAATCAGGGGAAAGGGTTAGCATCAATAATAACAGAATAACATAAAAATTGCAGACTCGATTTGTCCGGGCTAGTGTTTCAATATCACTGCAGTTATACTTAAACCAAAAAAATATCTAGCACCAATCAAACAATTAAAATAATTATTAAAATGAATACATAGAAGTTGTAGTAAAGAAAATAATTTGATGTGATAAAGTGATCAGTGTAAAAAATAATTGTTTCTAGAACTTGTTTACATATTGATTGTTAAAGCTTACTTTAAACCGATAATTTTCGAATTTAATAATTCAGGTCTCTAATTTAATCACTACAGCTTCTCTAGTTTTTGTCGGTTTCTGTTATTTCCTATTATGTATTATTTAAGTAATATCCGGTCCGTGCTTTGCTTTGTGTCCTATTTTAGTTTGATGTCATGCTGGCCTCCTTGCCGCGGGTCCTCTGTTGCGTAAAAATAAAAATAAAAATCAACATTCAATTAAGTAAAGCATTGTTACTTACCAATATCTCAAGATTAATCATTTTTTTAATATGAAAAATATTGTTTCCTACAAAATACTTTTATAATTTAAAACTCTTATTGCAATAATTTACTACGTCAAAATGATAATTGAATTGACATGTCATATAGGGTTAATTTCATATGAGTAAACAATCAAACCAAATACATTTCTTCAACAATATGGACAAAATGATATCATTCGACCATTAGAAAAACATGTATTTACACAATAAACTTATCTCTTTATTTTAGCAAAGCGATAAGCCAGCAATGTCAACACCTTTTATATATCAATATAACGCAAATGTATTTATGTTCCTTGCAAAATATTTGAAAGTAAAAGTGTTTGCCCATATTTGCGCTCTAAGGCAACTCTATTGAAAACATTGTATGTCGCTGCATTGTAAATAATTGATGAGCATAATTATAACCAATAATTGTGTTTCATATTGGAAAGTAACAATGAACTCGAGGGTTGGTGTTTTTTTATAAAGAAAAGCATATTAACTTACAAAAAGTAATATTCCTACGAGAGTAATCTTTAACTTGAAAAACTCTTTCAAAATGCATTCAGTATAGCAACAACAGCAACAACTCTGAACATGAAACGTTTTTGAGCTTTGGAATTAAAATGCTTTTACTTCATAGTTCAAGATCTCACCCTTTTAGGGCCTTATATCAGTAAAATAAAACATATAGAAAAGAGAAAAACAGACTCCTTTAAAGACACCAAAAACGACATAAATGAAAATGTGCAAGCTCGATTTAATTGGACCTGTTCAAGGACGGTACCGGAAAGTGCAAATTACACTCTCTAGCACCCCTTTCAGCAGAATTCAACACTTCAACAAAAAACTGGTGCAATT